CCTTTTTGGAGGCTCATGAACCAGCCAAGTTCTTAGAGAGATTTTTTTTATTTTTTAAACCTCTCTCTGCTGCCTCTCTCACTGCCTAAACTCTCTCTCTCTGATGTGAAGTGCTTTTAATGATACTGACAAGGCTTCTTTCTGTAGGTTCGAGGAAGTTTCTTGCTAATTTAAAATGCTTTTATTGGAGATACTTTGCCACAGTTGACATTCGGGGTTAGAAAACTGTTGTTTTGTTCTTTTTTTTTTTGTGAGTCCGTGTGTGTGTGTGTGTGTGCATCCTCGCCTTTCTTTCGGCCCAAACCCACGCAGGTGACCAGAGGGGGCCTTGTGTGGGTGGACAACTCAATGGTGACCCCCTCTCTTTACCCTCACCCTCCCTCCTGTCTATCTCCCCCCATCAGTCCCTCCTTTCTCATTCGCCGTCCACCAGTACGAGTTCAAAAAGAAGGAAAGGGGCCCGAGTGGAAAAAAAAAAAAAAAAAAAATCCACACCCACTCGTAAGCAAACAACCACCAAAATAACACGTAAAACAGAAAAAGTTATTAGAACACATGTGCGTCTTTTGATCATGAAGCTTGTGTAAAGCGTGACAGATGGTGAGAGGTTACTCGTAATATTGCACGCAATTACTTAGAAATTAGTCAATAACTATTTTAATTAAAGACTAATTGTTAAAGCTGACAAATAAGTCATTTTTTAAAAAATAGGAACAGAGCAAATGACGCATAACGAGAGAAGTTTCTCACAGCGATGAACTCCCCAGAATTTCCCCTCAGCTGTAGGGACCTTTTCAGCATCCTTCAGCTGCCTTGTGTCGGTTTTAAAGGCCGCAGAAATACTCGTGTGTTTCACTTCTCTCAGCAACTTTGTTTCCAGTCCCAGAAAAAAAAGCTGTTTCCAGTGAGAAACCTTTTACAAGCCAACCGTGTGCTACTTGTCCTGCAGCGGACAACAATAACAGCCAGCTGATAAACATCTGGTAAAGAATTCAACACGTAAATTAAGATCTAGTGAAGAGTAAAAGGGAGGGAAAAGAGCAGTGAACTTCAAATAAATTAAATTAAAATAAAAGAAATTAAAAAGCAATTTGTGGGCATGACTTTGGTAACTTGCGACACATTTTTTTAAGCTGAAAAAATTCAGATTACTGACCAATCTTTTAGGTATTTACTTCAAATAATCAGTTTGATAGCAGTGTATTGTTTCAGTTGATATAAAAAATCTGTTGCAGTTTTCTAGAGTTGAAGGTGCCATTGTTGTTACCAACAGTACAAGAAATATACAATATTTAGAATGATTTAAAACAAATAAAGGCTGCAAATCTTCATATTTGACAATCTGAGACTGAATTGTTGGCATTGTTCATTAACAATCTTATGATTTCCATTTCATTTTTCACTGTTAATCAATTAGTCAGTCACGGAAATAAGTTATAAATCACAATACTACCATACAAACTGGGAGCTGAATGGCAAAACTGGCAAATAATTACAAAAAAAGAGTAGCACAGCACCCTAAGTTGACTGATTTACTGCCACATACATTTTCCCGGACATATAAACTTGTCGACACACTAAAGAAGGTGGCACATCTGAAACATCTGCATGTCAGTTAAAAAACTTGTACACGTGTCCTAGTCTTTTTTTTTCATTTTTCTTTAACCAATCAATTGTTTCCGCTATAAAATTGTTCGACATGTCATTACAAAACAAACTGCAACTTAAACAACAGTAAAAGTGCTTGTTGGGGGGTCGTCACCTCACAGGATGTTTGTGTGTCTTTCACTGAGAAAGGCACGGAGATAAGAGGCTGTGTTTTAGTGAGGATTAACAGGGATTAGCCTGTCAAACCAGACAATTGTCCAGTTTATTATGCTACCTTTTCCTTTATCAGCACTCAAAACAGGTCTACATATGCACAAACACAGACGGGATGGAACTGAAGCCAGAATCTTGTGAATCTTGTGTTGTGTCCGACATGGTTCGCACCCGATTGTTGAGTTTCTGTTTCTGTGTTGCTGGATGACACAGACACAAAGAGGTGTGTTGAAACAAGGCTGTTATCCCACAATTATGTTTGAGAGATTTTTTTTTTTTAAAGAAAAAAAAGAAGCTAATTTACATTCCACACAAGAAGTGACTCCTTGTGACAAACACTCATGCTAATGTGAGTTTCAAAAAGTGGCCAGATTTGCTTCCACTCTATTTATAATGTCCTGCTTGAACATCCATCAGCGGTTCGTGCCAACACTGCCCCCATATGGGTGGAAGGAGCAAAAACTGCTGTTGGACACCATCAGATGTGGGTGAGTTTGTGTGATGTGCTAAATTAAGCTGTGTGGGCTGGACTGCCAAGTGGGAGGAAAGAGAAGGTTTCAAGAAGGGCACAAGTTGAGTAAGTCGTAACGAACTCAGAACAATCCAAACTAATTTAAAATTACTAGGTCAGCCAATGTGATGTCTGAGCTAATATGTGATCTTCTAAATCTGTCAGCACATTCACTTTAATTGTTATTCCCATACAGAGACATTCAACACGAAACATTGGAAACACAACAGTGGGAGAAAATTGTCACGTTGTTTCTCTCTAATTAACGTTAGTGGATTCCTGTGTACTCAAATATGCATTAATTGAAGAGGAAGAAAAAGGTTACTATGACGTGAGTCATTTAGTGAAAGCAACGCGAGGCTCAAACATTCTGGC